ATGTGCACCTATACCAGGCTCTGTGCTAGAGACTGGTGATCATCCGGAGGGCAGGCACAGAGTATCAGCAGGGTTGCCCTGTCTTCCAACACCTAACACCTGGCACAATGGCTAAGTGCATAACAAGCAAAGTAGTAAGAACTGGAGACACAAAGACTGATTATAACAACAATTGCAAAAGGACATGAGGAAGACCAAGATTTAGAGCTGGGCGAAGCTACCTGGGCAAACAGCAGGAGCACTTGCGGGAGGCAGGTGATGAGGGCATGCTTAGGAAACAGTAGGCGTGGCAGCGGGGCTGCACTGGAGTGAGGAACAGGACAAGTCACAACTGGACCGGGTAGGAAGGACTTGAAGACCAGGCTGAGGCCTCCGCTGAAACTTAGTTTGTATTTTAAACAACATCATTGAGATAGTATTTACATACCATAAAATTCACCAATTTTAAGTGTAGAATTCAATGCTTTCTAGTAAGTTTACCGGGTTGTGCAACCATTCCCATCAGCCAGTTTTAGAACATCCTCATCACATTTCCAAGATCCCTTATGCCCATTTACGGTGAATGCCCATCCCCAGCCCCAGGCAATCACTATTCTACTATGTCTCTGTAGCTTTACTTTTTTTTTTTTTTATCCTCATCCAAGGACATTTTTCCATTTTTGTTCAGATAGAGTGGGAGAGGAAGAGAGAGAGAGAAACATCGACGTGAAAGGGACACATCGAGTGGCTGCCTCCCGCATGAGCCAGGGACAAACTGCAACTGAGGTACGTGCCCTTAGCGGGAACCGAACCCAGGTATCTCTGGATTGTGGGTCAGCGCTCTAACTGCTGAGCCAAACTAGCCAGGGCTGTGGGTTTACTTTCGCAGGAAATTTCAAACAAATGAAATCATACAATATGTGTTTTTCACTTAGCATAGTGGTTTTGAAGTCCATCCATGTTATGGTATTTGAATTTTATTCCTTTCTATTGTTGAACAATGTTCAACTGTACAAATATACTACATTTCATTTATCCACTGGTTGATGGACATTTTAGTAGCTTCTACTTGGGCTATTATGAATAATGCTGCTGTGAACATTCTTGTGTCTTGTTCTCTCAGGTAGGTTCTCAGGAGTGCAATGGTTGGGTTGTATGGTAAATTTATAGTTAACTTTTAGGGGCTGTACTTGATTTAAAAAAAAAAATTTACTTTATTATTGACAGTATTACAGATGTATCCCATTTTCTCCCCTATCTCACCCCTCCACCCAATCCCCACCCCACCCCAGGCTGTCCCCATGCTAATGTCTGTGTCCATGGGTTATGCATATATGTATATATATTCTTTGGGTAACCTCATCTTGTCTCCACCCCCCCCCCGAAGCTCTGTTATTCTGTTTCATGCATCCATACCTCTGCACCTATTTTGTTCATCAGTTTATTTTGTTCTTTCGATTCCACTTATAAGTAAGATCATGTGATATTTGTCTTTCTTTAACTGGTTTATTTTGCTTAGCATAATAGTCTCCAGGTCCATCCATGCTGTCTTAAAGGGTAAGAGATCCTTCTTTTTTTTATAGCTGCAGTATGTAAATGTAACACAGCTCTTGTATCCACTCATCTACTGATGGACACTTGGGCTGTTTCCAGATCTTAGCTATTATAAATAGCGCTGCTGTAAACATAGGGGTACATATATTCTTTCTGATTGGTGTTTTGGGATTCGTAGGATATATTCCCAGAAGTGGGATCTCTGGGTCAAACAGCAGATCCGTTTTTAATTTTTTTAGGAAACTCCATACTGGTTTCCACAGTGGCTGCACCAGTCTGCATTCCCACCAGCAGTGTATCAGGGTTTCCTTTTCTCCACATCCCCACCAGCAATTGTTTGTTGATTTACTGATGGTAGACATTCTGACAGGTGTAAGGGGATACCTTATTGTAGTTTTAATTTGCATATCTCTGGTGATTAGTGACATTGAGCATTTTTTCATGTGTCTATTCGCCATCTGTATGTCCTCTTTGGAGAAGTGTTTATTCCGGTCATTTGCCTTTTTTTTTTAAATCCTCACTCAAGGATATATTTCCACTGATTCTTTCAGATAGAGTAGGAGGGAGTGAGGGAAAAAGAGAAAAAGAGAAACGTCAATGTGAGACAGACCCACGGAATGGTTGCCTCCTGAATGACCGTGACCAGGGTTGGGGATCGAACTCGCAACCAAGGTACGTGCCCTTGACTGGAAATTGAACCCATGACTCTTTGGTCCTCAAGCCAGTGCTCTAACATCTGAGCCAAACCTGCCAGGGAGCTTTATCCATTTTTAATTGGGTTGTTTATCTTCCTTTTTTTGAATTGTATGAGTACTTATATATTTTGGAAATTAACCCCTTATCCGATGTATCATTGGCAGATATATTCTCCCATACAGTGGGTTCCCTTTTCATTTTAATGCTGGTTTCTTTTGCTGTGTAGAAGCTTTTTAGTTTGATGTAGTCCCATTTGTTAATTTTTTCCTTTGTTTCCCTTGCCCCAGGCAATGTATTGGTAAAAATACTGGTACGTGAGATGTCTGAGATTTTACTGCCCATGTTTTCTTGTAGGATTTTTATGGTTTTAAAAGCTACATTTAAGTCTTTTATTCATTAACATTTTTTATATGTTTTTATTGATTTTTTTAGAGAAAGAGGAAGGAAGAGAGAGATAGAAACATCGATGGGAGAGAGAAACATCAATCGCCTGCCTCCTGCACACCCCCTACTGGGGATTGAGCCTAAACCCAGGTGTATGCCCTGACCCAGAATTGAATCCGGACCTCTCAGTCCATGGGATGACACTCAATCCACTGAGCCACACTGGCTGGACAAGTCTTTTTTCCATTTTGAGTTTATTCTTGTGTATGGTGTAAGTTGGTGGTCTAGTTTTATTTTTTGTCCTGACTTGTTTTTAGAGCAGCTTTTTTGAGATATAATTTGTATACCATAAAATTCACCTGCTCTAAGTACACAATTCAATGCATTTTGGTATGTTTGCAAAGTTGCACAATCACCACAATCTAATTTTAGAACACTCATGGAGAAGAAACCTTGTGCTCATTTATAGTTGCTCTACATTTCCACTGCCAGCCCTAGGCACCTCCAGTTTACTTTCTGTCTCTATATATTTGCCTTTTCTAAACATTTCATGTAAATTACATTATATGATACATGGTTTTTGTGTATGACTTCATTCACTGAGCATAATATTTTTAAGTTTCATTCACTCCTTTTCATGCCGAATGATATCCCAGTGTATGGATAGGCCATATTTTGTTTACCCAATCACTAGTTAATGAATACTTGGGTTGTTTCCACTTTTGTCTATTTTGAATAATACTGCTATGAACATTCACGAACACGTTTTTGTGTGGACATATGTTTTCATTTCTTTTAGATAGATACCTAGAAGTGAAATTGCTGGATCATATAGTAAGTATATATTTAATCTTTTAAGAAATTGCAAAACTGTTTTCCATTTATATTAAAACTGTTGCACCATTTATATTCCCATTGGCAATATATGGGGTGGGCAAAAGTACGTTTATAGTTGTAATACAAATAAAAATACAATAATTAATAAATAAAAATACAAGAATAACCTACTTTTGCCCACTCCTGTATGTGGGTTCCTGTTTCTTCCTATTCTCACCAACACTTATTATTGTGTCTTTTTTATTATAGCCATTCTAGTGGATGCAACGTGATACCTCACTGTGGTTTTATTTTATTTTTTTTATTCTCACCTGAGGACATTTTTTTCCATTTATTATTCAGATAGAGTGGGAGGGAGAGAGAGAGAGAGAAACATCGACGTGAAAGGGACACATTGAGTGGCTGCCACCCGCATGACCAATCAGGGCCGGGGATAAACTGCAACCGAGGTATGCGCCCTTAGCGGGAACCGAACCCAGGTCTCTCTGGAATGCAGGCTGACACTCTAACTGCTGAGCCAAATCGGCCAGTGCTAACTGTGATTTTATTTATTTATTTATTTATTTATTCATTTATTTATTTATTCTGACCCGAGGACATTTTTCCATTTTTTGTTCAGGTAGAGTGGGAGGGAGAGAGAGGAACAGAGAGAGAGAGAGAAACATTGACATGAAAGGAACACATCGAGTGGCTGCCACCCGCACGACCGACCAGGGCCGGGGAAAAAACTGCAACCGAGGTACGTGCCCTTAGCGGGAACCGAACCCGGGTCTCTCGGACCGCAGGCCGACGCTCTAACCGCTGAGCCAAACTGGCGAGGGCCTAACTGTGATTTTAAATTGCATTTCCTGCCTGGCCAGTGTGGCTCAGTGGTTGAGCATTGACCCATACACCAGGAGGTCGCTGGTTCGATTCCCAGTCAGGGCACATGCCCAGGTCGTGGGCCAAATCCCTAGTGGGGGGCATGCAGGAGGCAGCCAGTTGATGTTCTCTCTCATAGATGTTTCTAACTCTCCCTCCCTCTCCCTTCCTCTCTCTATAAAGTCAATAAAGAAAAATAAATTAATTAATAAATTGTATTTCCTTCATGGCCAGTGATGTTGAACATCTTTAAATGTGCTTGTTAGCCATTCATATATCCACTTGAATAAAATGTCTATTCAAATCTTTTGCTCATTTTTAAATTGGGTTGTTTGTTTTATTATTGCATTGTAAGAGTTCTTGATGTAGTCTGGATATACTGTCAGATATATGATTTTAAATTGTTTATTCCCACCCTGTGGTGTATTTTTCATTTGTTCAGTGATGTCCGTTGAAAGATTTTGGAGGAGGAAGGGGCAAGACAGAGCTGTGCTTCAGAGGATGGTCTCGCAGCAGTCTGTGCGGCGGCTAGAAAGGCACAGAGAGCTCGGTTTCGATTCAGTTCTTTATGATATAATACAGGGAACAAGCAGAGGCCACGTTTCTCAAAATTCTCTGGGAATCAAAGGGTTATAAGCAGCTATTTATTGAAGGCTGTTTCCAGTGCAGTTAATCAGTAAACCAGAATCAGTGAAACTACCCAGTCTGGGGAAGTGCAAAAACCCTTCAAAAGGTTTTCCCGCATTAGGAGAGGCAGAGAATGGGGGAGGGGAGCTGAGTGACTATTCCAGAGCTACATAGTAACTTCACGCTCTGGAAGGGACAGTTCTGAACCTCCTTCCCAGGTGCTGACCCGCTGGTGTTTACGGCAGGAAACTGGGAAGAGCTGGTTCCCAGCCCTTGGATTTTGACTGGTGAAGAAGACAGATTTTGGGGAGCGGCGGGGCTCATTTCAGTGGTTCTCTCTGAAAAAGCCCAGCAAGATGTCAGGCCTGCTCTCAGTCTTCCTCCACCTCCTCCTTCTCTTCAAGTTGGGTGCCCCAGTGACCTTTCGCCACCACCACTACGATGACCTCGTGAGGACGCTGTACAAGGTGCACAACGAATGCCCCTACATCACTCGTGTTTACAGTATCGGGCGCAGTGTGAAGGGGAGACACCTCTACGTGCTGGAATTCAGCGACTACCCTGGAATCCACGAGCCCTGTAAGCCCTGAGCAGTGCTTGGAGTGGATAGGGCAGGACCCTTCCTTACAAATCCAGTAATCGGGGTGGGGGGGGGATGTCACCTCCACCTATAAAATATCACCTCTTTTTTAGCCTGTGCTAAGTATTCTTTCCTGCGAAGCTCTCAAACAGCCTCTACCTTTGGGAGCTGCAATCTCGGTTCAGGCTCCAGTTCGTCCCTCTGTTTTAGGTTCTAGTTACTCAAGACCTTAATGGTAAGATGAGTCTTCTTCCCTGCTCCCATCCTGTCCCTTTCCTTTCCTCCCATTACCCCCTTTCCCCCCTTGCTATAATTCTGTCTGTTCCTATCCAATGCCCGAGGAGACATAAGCAGAAACAATTAGCTCTTCTAATTCTGCCAGGAAACGTAGAAGGGTTCAGGGATATTTCTTTGGAATGCTGGAGAGGGCTTGAGGTCTGGGGTATTAGCTTTATTCATTGGGTTATTTTTTGTTAGTTTGTTTCTATTATAAAAGCAATCAATGTTTGGATTAAAATTAGAAATTAGAGAAGGGAAAAAAAACCTCACTCATAATCCCACCACTCACAGATGACTGTTGTTAATATATTGATGTATATATTCTTCCAGACTCTTTTCTATGGATAGTTAACCCCTCCTCACACATACATAGTTTATTTTCCAAAATTGGAATCGTACTATAGCTACATTTCTCATTTCATAGTACTTTATGAATGGCATCCATGTCTGTAATTGTAGAGCTACATCATCATTTTTGGCTGTATAATATTCCACAGCATGGTTGTGTTTTACTTCATTTATTGGTGGATATATAAGTTGTTTCTAATTTCTCACTGCTTTGCCTATAACAATTGTGATATTCAAGTGATATCAGTTCCTCCTTCAAACTGTCAACCTCAACTTTCTTTTCTGCTCCATTTCCAGGCCCTCCACCCTAGGCCCAACCTCATCATGACCTGCCTAAATGATTGTACTGGGCTCCTAGCTGACCTCCTAACCCTGACTGCTCCCCACTCTCTGAGCCTTCCATTCAGCAGAGATGCCAGAAGGATTTTCCTACATGCTGATATAATTTTCTCACCCCACTGTTAAAAACCTTCAATGACAACCTCACACCAGTGGGTTCTGTCCATGGCAGCTTCAGAATATTACATGGCCAATGGGGAGGGGCAGGGGTGGTGAGAGGTGGCTCAAGGAAGGTGCGTGAGTTATTGAGGATCAGGGCCTTGCTTTGAAGCTTCACTAACACAGAAAGTACCTGCTTTTACTCTTGCCATGTGTTCATTGTGGAAGCTTGTGGGTGCTAATGGACATTGTAGGGTTAGACCCTCTGCATGCCCCCTTCTGGGCGCCCCCTCTGCTTTCCAGCATTCAAGCCTTGCTTGAGGCTTTTTCATTTAGATCCCTCTTTTCTCTGATACCTATAACTTAGCTATTCATCCATTTATTCCTTTTATTTATTTGTTATTCATTCCACAAATATTACTGATTATCTGTTATATGCAAGCACTTTTGTCAACTCTGAATATACAACAGAGAATAAAATGAAGACCCTAATTCTAACTGGGTAAGACTGACAATAAACGGCTCAGTATATGTACAGTATTGGGAGAAAAGTAAGTGCTATAGAAGAAAACAGAATATCATAGAGTACTATGGATTGAGTAGGAGAGAGGTCAATGCTACTTCGAAAAAGCTTTGTCAAGGTGATATTTGAGCATGAGATGGTCAAAAATCTGGTATTGGGAAAGAAAACACTGCAGACAGAGGAAAGAGCAGGAGCTTGGCAAGTGTGAGGAACAGCAAGGAGGCCCCTGCAGCTCCAGCAGAGTGAACAAACAATGGGAGAGCACGGGGTAGGTCAGAGCAGTATGGTCAGGGAAACCGGCAGGAAGAGATGGCTTAGGGTTTTATAGGCTTTGGTAAAGATGTTGGCTTTTCCTTTGAGTGAAGTGAGAAGCCACTGGAGAGTTTTAAGCAGAAGAGTGATATGATCTGACTGAAAAAAATTTAAAGATCACTCAGAGCAGTAGTCAGCAGACTACAGCCCTAGGGCCAGTTATCTGCTTTGGTAAATAAAGTTTCTTTGAAACACAGTCCCGCCTATTTGTTTTTGTATTGTCTATGGCTGCTTTTCCTGCCAGAGTTCAGTAGCTGTGACAGAGACAATATAGCCCACAAATCCGAAGTATTTACTATCTGGCTCTTTACAGAAAAAGTTTGCAGACCCCTGACTCAGGAGAATGCATTTTAATGGGGCTGGGCAGATGCAAAGAGTTAAATTAGGAGATTTATTGTAATAGTCTAGGTGTGAGAGTATGGGGGCTTCAACCAAATGATAGCAGTGGTTGTTATGAGAAATGGTTGTATTCTGCATATATTGGAAGTAGAGACAAAAGAATTTGACATTGAGCACCTACCAAGTGCAAGACCTTATGCTGGTTTCTATAGGGCAGTAGTTGCTAAATTTTGGATTTTGTAGAAGTTAAAAAAATTTTTTTTTATATAAATAAGAGAGCTTGGAGGAGAATAAAATATATTTTCCAAATTTTATTTACTGATCAAAGATGTTGAAGAACACTACCTGCTATCTGCTATCACCATCCTTTCCTAAAAGAAGGGATATTTTATCACCAAAAAAAGTGAGAAAGACATAACCTAAGATTAAAGACTACACATTATGGAAAATTTACTACATGATCCTTGTGGGGCATAGACATTTGGGGGGGGGGGGTGAGACTGCTGTAGGTATACTAAGATAAATAACAATTCATGTCCTGAAATTTTAAAAATTTGTATATGTTGCAAAGACCAGGTGCAGTAAAGAAAATAGTTATGTGCAAAATTAGGCAAAACTCAGTAGAAAGTGGTGAGTACCATAAAAGGGAAGTTCAACAGTGAGTTCACTCCCAACAGAGAAAGCCCAAGATGGCTTCCCTACAAGGATGTTGAGAAGGACTTGGAAGTATGGAGATGAAGAGATGCAGGATTAGAAAAATCATGGAGGCAGGAAGGTGGGTGGAAGGGAAATCATGGAGGGTGAAAGATAAATCAAATGGCCAGAGCTTTTCTCTTCCTTTTAAAAGGGGGCAAGAATGATTTTCTTTAAGTGGTTCTAGAGGCTCTTTTCATGACCCAGGTTCTTACGTTAATTGAGCAATTAATATAGCTGATGAGAAGATTAAGGAATGAGACATAGGTAGATTCCTTACTACTCTGTGCCTCAAAATACAGCATTCTCAGATATTAAGGAGAGATTTTAGTTTCCTAACCAAGATGATTAGAAACTGCCATGCTATAACTTAAAGAATTTTGGGGAGCAGGTCTTGGGAAAACACCATTATGCTAAAAGATTTGTCTCTGAGAAGCAGTGAGCTACTGTACATGCTTCCTGGGCTTTGGCCTCTATCAGATTAATTAGCTAGGTGACTTCAGATGAGTTACTTAACCTCATCCCTCCCCAATATCCTCATCCTGAGGCCAATAATGACCACTTTACAGGTTTTCTGTGAAGATTAGTTGTAGTGAGCATAAATGCCAAGTATGCAGTAGGGATTCAATAAATGGTTGTCATTATTATCCCTGGCACAAATTTTTGTAGCATTTGTAATTGCAATTTGTTCAAAAGGGGCTCAGGGATGATTGGAAAAGACCCAACAGAAGCATGAGATTCTCTTTGATTTGCTATTGAAAAGGTCCCTTTGCAAGGTTAGGGATCAATGGCACTTGCACGCTTTCCCCATCTTTTATCGTTCTGCGTGTTTTTCTCACACTTGCAGTGGAACCTGAAGTCAAGTACGTGGGGAACATGCACGGCAACGAGGTGCTGGGCCGCGAGCTGCTGCTGCAGCTGTCGGAGTTCCTGTGCGAGGAGTTCCGGAACGGGAACCTGCGCATCGCCCGGCTGGTCCAGGACACGCGCATTCACATCATGCCCTCCATGAACCCCGACGGCTACGAGGTGGCCGCCGCCCAGGTACTGACCGGTGCAGAGAGTACAGCCCTCTTAAGGAATAAAGTAGAAGCCAGTAAACAATGTGTCCTTTCTGTTCCACTGTCAGTGTCACTATGTAATAGAGAAAAAAAGAAAAACCCACAATAGAAATGTACTAAAGTATGAAGGCTTGGGTTCAGGCCTATAAAACCCTAGCAATGAATGTGGGCTCTCTCTGAGCTTAGTTCCCTCAACACCTTTCCAGCTGACCTCCTGGTTTTATTGGGAAGGTCAAGGAGGTAATATTTGTGACAACACTTTGTAAACTGGAAAATACTATACTGGCGTGAAGGGATATTGCAAAATAGACCCCCTTTCTTGAACTTTCAGCTTCGAATCCTAGATGCTCTGCTTCCTCCCACAAGACACTTACCTTTGCATTGGGTGGGTGGATGTCAGAGAGATCATCAAGCTTTTCCCAGAACTGCAAGTGAGAAGTTAATTTTAGATACTTTGTTTTATTTCTGTAGGTTTTTTTCTTCTACTAGTATAGTACTCAGCTTTTAAAATTTATTTTAGAGTTGCATTTGCAGGGGAGAGAGGAAAAAAATGTCTGTGAGCTTTTACTTTATTCATTAACATAAATTCGAAATGTCAGTGTGCCTAACTTGAAAGCAGTGATTTTTTTTTCCCCTGTGGCTATGCATTAGAATCATAAATGAATATTTTGAAATACAGATTCCCAGATTTTCCTCCCTCCCCATTCCTGCAACTGATTTAGCATGTTCAAGGGTGAAGCCGGGCACCTGCCTTACACAATGAATACGTTCCTTTGAAAACGATGTTCAAACAGGATTTGTTTTGGGGGGGGATGGGTAGGGGGTATATAAATTTAAAAAAAAATTTTTTTTTAAATTTAAAAATCTGTTTCGGGTAGTCTTGAAACTTTTTCTTATTTTTTAAGATTAGACGTCACTGCTTTACTTAAATTTTATTTTATTGTGGTAAAAACACTCGAGATGTGTCCTCTTAACAACATTTTAAGTGTATGATACAGTATTGTTAGCTATAGGTACAGAGTTCAGCAGATTCCCAGCACTTATCCTTCCTGCTCAACCAAAACTTAATGTCCATTATTTAGTATTAGTTCCCATTTCCCTCTTCCCACAGCCCCTGGCAACCACCCTCCACTCTGATTCCATGAATCTGACCATGCTGTCCCATAAAAGTAGAACCACACAGTGTCTGTCCTTCCATGACCCAAGAGTATTTTAAATATACTTGAGGATAGGGCTGGAGGGAGAGTAGAGGCAGGAAGGGAATGGAGCCAAGATATTGAACCCAGCACAAATGTGACCTTTGCAATCTCACAACTTCCTGCTGATGTGACCTAACAAATGAAGAAGCAAAGCTTTTCCCCCTCACTGGAAATCAGAGGTGCCCAAGATTTGAATTTCCAAAAGAGTAGGAAGATTTGAAGGAGGTGTGGGGGTGGGGGAACCCCAGCCTGCCTGCTGTCCTCCCCGTGGTCCTTCCCTGTGCTGTGGGGAAACCGAAGAAGCACTTAGACCTGCCCACATCTCTTGGGGGATGAGGTAGGGGTGGGAGGAAGTGGGGGAAACCCCTGCCAGCTCACTAAATCCTATAGGTATCTTTGGAGAGCCAGTCCCTTCTGCTCACCTGCTGTATACTTGTTCAGAGGGAGCAAATCTTGAACCTAAACCCAAAGAGGACCCATCAGGTTCTCCAACTCCCAGAGCTACCTGCCATCCCCGGAGGAAACCTGTCCGCATGGCCACATAGGGGGGGCCAGCCTGGCCACCGAACTTTAAAGCCAGCTGTGGGTAAGGCAGAATAATGCCCCATCCCACTCCCTCAAAGACGTCCAAGTCCTAATCCCTGGACCTATGGATGTTGTGTTACATGCAAGGGGGAATTAAGGTTGCAGATGGAATGAAGGCGGCTAATCAGCTGACCTTAACATTTCCTGAATGCTCTGGGTGGGCCCAGTGTCATCAATCACAAGCCCTTTAGATGTGGAACAAGGAGGCAGAAGGTCAGAGTCAGAGATTTGAAGATGTTGTGCTGCTGCCTTTGAAGATGAAAGAAGGGATCATGAACCAAGGAATGTGGGTGGCCTGTAGATGCTGAAACAGATTTCCTAGAGCCTGTGGAGGAAACACAGCCCTGCTGAAACCTCGATTTTAGTCCCGTGAGACCCACCTCAGTCTTCTGCTCTCTAAAACTCCGAAGGATAATGAACTCGTGCTGTTTTAAGTCACTAAGTTGGTGACAATTTGTTATAGCAGTAATAGGAAACTGACACACCACCAACCCTGTTTATGGGAACCTTCTCTTAAGGGAATTCCTTATCTGCCCGCCTAGCTAATGAGCCTGTGAGAGTGGTAGTACTGATAGGTAAATTAACATATCTGTTCAGGCGAACAGGTAGAGCTAGTTTCACACAGACAAGTAGTGAAAAACCCCTAGAAGCATAAGAAAAAAACCATTATCTTATAGAAGTGGAAAATCAAGCTCAAAACTGAAAAATCAGATAAGTATTTTTCACTGGAATTGATGTAGGCAAATGTAAGAGAACTTGAAAAAAATAGTATGTTCTCAATGAGATCTAAGAATAAAATCTGAGCAGGACGCCATAAAAATGAAGAAATCTGCAAACAATAATAATAATAATAAGTTTCTTAGGAAAATATGAGACTGGTAACACATCTGTGAGTTTTCAGCTGCCCAGCATTGAGCCACTCACCTTACTTCTAGGAACAGCCACCAAATGGGGTTCTACTCTCTCAGCCCACAAAGCTCCAGTGGACACTCTTGCCCTTCTTCAGTGCCATCAAAACCATTAAATGGAATTTATGTTAGTTATTTATGTGAATGTCTGTCTCCCCATATATACTATGAATTCTTAGAATGATAAAATAATGTCTCATTATCTTTCGCCAATGTCTGTCAGAGATGGACTTGAATAAGTGTTGGTTAACTAAATGGATGAATGAATACATAACCAAATACATGATAAAATTTCAACTGTAAGCATGAGGTTGATATTACTCAGAAGAAAGATAAGCAAGGATACTAAATTTAAAAAGTGGTGGTGGGGTTTTCATGGTGCAGCCACTTTGGAAAATAGTTGAGCTATTTCTGAAACAGTTAAATATAGACTTGTCTTATGATCCAGAGTGCTGTTAGGTGTCTACACAAGGGGAATGAAAACACACGTCCACACAAAGTGTGGACAGCAGCATTATTCACAATAGTCAAAAAGTGTAAACAACAAAATTCCCCCCAAATTCATGTCTACCTGTAAATATGACCTTTTTTGAAAGTGAGGTTTTGCATGTGTAATCAAGTTAAGATAAACTCGTACTGGATTAGGGTGGACACTGAACCAAATATGCCTATTGTCCTTATAAGAAGAAACAAATTTATACAGAGACACAAACAGATGGGGGAGAAGACCGTACGAAGAGGGAAGCGGAAATTGGAGTGATTCATCTATAAGCTAGGGAACACCAAGGCTTGCCAGCAGCCACCAGAAACTAGAAGAGACACAGAAGGATTCTCCCCTAGAACTTTAGCTAGCAGGCCCTGCTGACACTTTGATTTCAAACTTCCAGCTTCCAGAATTGTGGGAGAACAAATTTCTGTTGTTATAAGCCATCTAGTTTGTGGTAATTTGTTATGGCAGCCCTAGACAACTAATACAGTCTATTAATTGGTGAATGGGTAAACAAAATGTGGTAAATTCATATAATGAAACTATTCATCAATAAAAGGGAATGAAATTCTGACATATGCTACGAGAGGAGCCTCGGAAACATTGTCTAGTGAAAAAAGCCAAAGGCGTAATGTATGATCCCACATATGTGAATGTCCAGAAAAGGCAGATCTACAGAGACAAGGGATTACCTGGGGCTGGAGTGAGAATGAATGACTGTAGGTGGGCATGACGTTTCTTTTTAGGGTGATAGATTATGGTGATGGTTGTCCAACTCAGTCAGAATCCAAAAATTCATTGAGTTGTACACTTCAGATGGGTAAATTTTATGGTATATTAGTTATATTTTAATAAAGCTTTTTTGGGAAAACAAAATAGGAGTTCCCATTATCCTGAAACACCCTATTCTGGTTAGAGCTTCTCCTGGGATCTATACCTTCAGCACATGGTCTACAGGGAAACTTGAACCACGCCACTAGGACTTTGGATAAGTTAAAGAGGAAAATGTTATATCATTTGATAGTAGACTAAGCTAATACCTAAAAAGAACTATATAGTACTCTTAAAATATAGGATTCAGTCTGAAATCTTCACTTCTCATCTTTCCATTTTCACCTTAGGGCCCAGACACTTCTGGATATCTGGTTGGCAGGAACAACGCAAATGGAGTGGACCTGAACCGCAACTTCCCCGACCTCAATACCTACATCTACTACAATGAGAAATATGGAGGCCTCAACCACCACTTGCCCCTTCCAGACAACTGGAAAAGCCAGGTATGAGAAGACATTTGCATGCAGAAGCAGGTAAATCAACATCTGGAATTTCTTCTGGAAATCTTCCCATCAACTAAACAAGCAAGAATTCGACATCAACTCAACTCCATGTTGTGTCTAGAGCAATAATAACTGTCTTATGCCTCTTTGTATTTATTCCCTCCCCAGTGTAGGGACCTCCATGGGGCACCTGCTCACAGAGTGTGTGATGTTAGTAGCCATAGTAGTGAGGGAAGTGGAAGAGGGTATCACACAGTTGCACAGTATTTTATGATTCTTCAGCATTTTAGTTGATCATCGTAACACTGTGTGGTGAATGCATCTCTGTTACTCATCTCTGTTTTATAGATATTACACTTATAGAAAAGACAATTTAAATTCATACAGCTATAATTGATGGAGTCAGGGTTAAAACCCATGTCTTCTGACTCCTAATCCAACATTCTTTCTACTGCACTGCACTGTAAATCTCTTTTGCATGTGAACTGCGTGCTCATCAACAATTAGCAATAGAAAGAAGTTCAGAGAGTCTTACCCTGATGTGTAGTTCCTCCTCTTTCCTTTCTGTATGAGCCTTCACCACTTTACTGCACTCCCATTCCCTTACTCTCCAGGCGGAGGACCCCATTTGATGCTCCCAAGCCTCTCCCCAGGAGGCCTGCAATGGCAGCCCTGGTGATGTGAATGGTTTCATCCTGCTGGTGGGCCTGCTCGTGAGAATAACTACTGTTATCCTCAGTATCACTACCACCTGTTTTTCACACTGTATGGGATAATTCTAAAAGTTCTGTTTGTGAGTAGCTGAACTTAGAGATGGAGGAGAGAAACATGAAACAGGTGTTAGGCTTTCTATTGGGAGTTTTCCAGATGGAACAGTCTCCGTTGGAAATGAAGCAAAAGTCATGCTGACATGTTTAGATTTCAGCAAGCGGCTATGCTCTTGGCTCAAGTAAATAATAAATAAAAATAACTTTGTGCTAGTTAGCATGTTCAGCCAGAGGGTGTTCTGCTTTACTAACTTGTTGAAGTAAAATAAAGTGACTGAGCCAATAATAATCTGAATCTTAGACGATCAAAAAGAGAAGGAGCCCTGGCTGGTTTGGCTCAGTGGTTAGAGTGCCAGCCCGCAGACCAAAGAGTCGTGGGTTCGATTCTAGTCAAGGGCACATACTCCAGTGCGGTTTGATCCCTGGGCCTGGGTCGTGCAGGACACAACCAATTGATGTGTCTCTCTCACTTCAATGTTTCTCTCTTTCCTTCCCTCCCTCCCTTCCACTCTATCTAAAAATCAATGAAAAAATATCCTCAGGTAAGGATTTAAATATGTGTGTGTGTGTGTGTGTGTGTGTGTGTGTGTGTGTGTGTATGTATACCTATATATATTTTAGAGGGAGAGAGAGAAACATTGATTTGTTGTTCCACTTACTTATGCATTCATTAGTTGCTTCTTGTATATGCCCTGATCAGAGATCGAACCTGCAACCTTGGTGTATGAGATGACACTCTAACCAACTGAGCTATAGAGCTAGGGCCATCCACTTAATTTTTATTTATTTTTTATTTATTTATTTTTAATCCTCACCGGAGGACACTTTTCCATTTTTTTGTTCAGGAAGAGTGGGAGGGAGAGAGAGGAACAGAGAGAGAGAGAGAAACATCGATGTGAAAGGGATACATCGAGTGGCTGCCACCTGCACAACCGACCAGAGCCGGGGACAAACTGCAACCGAGGTACGTGCCCCTAGCGGGAACCGAACCCGGGTCTCTCAGGACCGCAGGCTGACACTCTAACCGCTGAGCCAAACCGGCCAGGGCCATCCACTTAATTTTTAAAACCATCATGCAAAAGGTCAAAATTTCTCCATCTACACTTCTCATATATGTAGGACCTGTCCTATTCAGACATGCTTTCTCCTCAGGCTACTTTCTGACAAATGTACTCGAATGGCTCTCATCTCTCCATAGGTGGAACCTGAGACCCGGGCTGTGATCCAGTGGATACGCTCCCTCAACTTTGTCCTTTCAGCCAATCTCCATGGAGGGGCAGTGGTGGCCAATTACCCGTATGACAAGTCCCTGGAACATCGGGTCAGAGGTTCCCGCCGTGCTGCCAGTACCCCCACGCCTGATGACAAGCTTTTCCAGAAGGTATGCAGAATGGTGGCTTGTCCAGCCAGGAACGTGGGGCCCAGGAGAGTGACACAGGTCAAGTCTGTAACACAGGACTCTGTTAGGTACAAGTCCACAGAAAATAATTGAAAACACTGCTTGCTCATTAGGAGCTTACAGTCTAGTAAATTACATTTTGTTTGAGTGATCAGCCAAAAATTCATAAAAAAGTAAATATATAAGAAAGCTTTATAGTACAATTACCACAGTATAAAAAAGTACTTAAGCTAATGACAAGCAAGAAATATGCCAAAAGACTAATAGTGCTGCTGATAAACAAGTGGCATTAAATGTTAGTTTTAGGGGCTCTGATTTGCAATGTTATGATAGTAAGGCTATATTAATGAAAAATAGACCATGCACATAAAATGGTTTACATGATAGTTCAAAACAGAAGTAGAATAAAATTAACAGATTAATCTTTTTTTTTTTTTTATCCTCACCCGAGGATATTTTTTCCATTTTTTTGTACAGATAGAGTGGGAGGGAGAGAGAGGAAGGGAGAGAGAGAGAGAAACATCGACGTGAAGGGACACATCGAGTGGCTGCCACCCTCACGACCAACCAGGGCCGGGCACAAACTGCAACCGAAGTACATGCCCTTAGCGGGATCCGAACCCGGGTCTCTCCGGACCGCAGGCTGACGCTCTAACCGCTGAGCCAAACTGGCCAGGGCCAGATTAATTGTTTTATAGTTAATGAATTATTAATAATACAAGTTACATAAATAATTACTGTTACAATTACAATAACATTTATTATCAATTCATCAATTAATGTATTGCATAGAGAATAATGCCAGTTGTTGCTTTGTGAAACAAGTATATCTCATTTTGTTCACTGATATAAAATAGTAGTGAAAGAGAATTAATAGAGATTCTAAGTATATTCCTCTCTTTTTAGCACACAACTCACCCCCAAAACACAGTTATTTTCTGGCAAAGTCCTATCTTACTTGCTTCTTTCTTTTACAAAACTCAGCTAGAAAACAGTACACTTAGAAAGGGATTAAGACGTACAAATTGCCAGTTTTAAAAATAGCCACAGGGATGTAAAGTACAGCATAGGGAATATAGGCAATAATATTATAATGACTATGTGTGGTGTCAGATGGGTACTAGACTCAACAGGTGATCACTTCATAAGGTATGTAAGTGTCTAATCATTATGTTGTATATCTGAAATATAATACTGTATGTCAACTGTAACTGAAAAAAAAAGAAATGGTACACATAGAAGGGAGCTTATGTATCATCTAGTGCCACCCCTCACTTTGCATTTGGAGAAATTTAGTCCCAAGATAGTGGAAAAATCAAAATACAGGTTTCTTAACTCTAGTCCACTACACACACACACACACACACACACACACACACACACAGCCCATCTCTATCTCTGCTGGTATTTTCTTTCACTAAAGCAAATAATCAGTTGTTTATACCTAGTGGGATTTCTTAGCTTTACCCTACTTCTGAGTATGAACATTGCCCTATGAGTTGGGTACACTCAAGGTCATTTCTGCCCACTTTTCCTACAGCTGGCCAAAGTCTACTCTTACGCACATGGATGGATGCACCATGGTTGGAACTGTGGGGATTACTTCCCAGACGGCATCACCAACGGGGCTTCCTGGTATTCTCTCAGCAAGGGTAAGCGGGGGGCCTGGTACAGCGGTGCTGCAGCTCAGTAAGGTGGAGTTCACTTCTCCTTCTGAATTATCTTTTCTCCCCCTCAGAGAAATGATTGGAATATTATAGAAACTTGCATCCAAGTAGAGATCTGAACATGGCAAAATCTTAAGTGAGCTTTTAATGGCATGTTAAAATGAAGGCAGGGACACCTTATGGCCTTTTTAAAGCTGGTGGTTTTGCCCGGTCATTGTGACCCAGTAGATTGAGCATCATTCCACGCATCAAGAGGTCACCGGTTCGGTTCCCAGTCAGGACACATCCCCAGTAAGGGGCGTGCAGGAGGCAGCCAATCCATGGTTCTCTCTCACATTGATGTTTCTATCTCTTTCTCCTTCTCCTTCTCTATCTTTAAAAGTCAATAAAATATATATATATATATATATTTTTTTTTTCTTTATCCTCACCCGAGGACATTTTTCCATTTTTTGTACAGGTAGAATGGGAGGGAGAGAGAGAGAGAGAAACATCGATGTGAAGGGACACATCGAGTGGCTGCCACCCGCACGACCAACCAGGGCCGGGGACAAACTGCAACCGAAGTACGTGCCCTTAGCGGGAACCGAACCCGGGTCTCTCTGTACCGCAGGCCGACGCTCTAACCGCTGAGCCAAACTGGCCAGGGCCAATAAGAAATATTTTTAAAAAATAACAAAACAAAATAAAACTGGTGGTTTGCACAAAATATTGGGGCACAGGAGGGAAATAATATAGTCAGGTGGTTAAGTGTGGGCTTCAAGGGTACATTGGATTGAAACCCAGCTCTCCCAGTTACCAGTTATGTGGCTTCAGCCTAATTACTTAACCTCTATGAGCTTTGGTTTTTTTTTAATCTATATTAAGGATAACAATATGTGCCCCATAATTTTTATGTAAATATTAGATAAATAATGCACATAAAGCATTTGGAAATGCCTGGCTTATAAATGCTAGCCTTTTTCTAAGTAGCACAGAGTTATGCCTCGCATAGCAACAAGTGAGCAGAGGAGCTGGCCTGGACACACAGTTCCTCTGGTATACGCTGCATACCCTGCCTGCCCATCTCCCGTGATCAGGAATCTGCCCGGCCATGGCCATTGGTAATGCAGCAGAAACCTCTGCAGGAGGCTTCTCTCTCTACTCCCTGGGCCTTCCCCATCAGTGTTGAGATAGAACCTCTGTTTATGAAACTCCAGTAGACAGAGAACCTAAGGGTAGGGAAGAGGCTGAAGCAGGAAGCTGGGATCTTTTAGGAATCATGTTTTAGCAGTTGTCTTTTCCTATCCTCTCAAATCTGACCTGACCAGAGCCCAGGCAGCAGAAAGCTCACTAGTGAGGACTGAGCTGATAGCTGGTCCTGTAGAGAGTGGGGAGGAAGAAGGTTAGGGAGTCACATATACAGGGAAACTGGCTGAAAACTCACTTGAACACAAGGCAAGATTTTGTTGAACTTTACTTTTTTTTTTAATGCTAACCCGAGGATATGTTTCTATTTATCTTCAGATAGAGTGGGACGGAGAGAGAGAGAAACATCAGTGTGAGAGAGACGCATCAACCGGCTGCCTCCCGCACAACCCCGACCAGGGAAACTGAGGTACATGCCCTTGGCTGGAATCGCACTCATTGGACCGCAGGCTGACGCTATAACCGCTGAGCCAAACGGGTCAGGGCTGAACTTTACTTTCTTTAGTTTGCATTAGGAAAGCAATAGGTCCCCCCTCCAAAAAAAATGTGGAATATACTTTTTCAAATTATACTTGCTCTTTCCTTCTTATCCTCTGGGAAAGCATGGCCCATGCCTCCACTGAGAATCATTGCCCTAAATTAAGCTAGGACAATTTCAAGATCAAGTTCATTAAAACAATTGTTCCAACAGTGTGGTCTCTGGACAAGTAGCAGCATTGCTCCATACTTGTTAGAAATACAAATTTGGGGGCCTCTCCATACCTACTGAGTCAGAAACTCTGGGCTAAGGCCCAGTAATCTGTATTTGGCTGGAAGGTGCAGACTTCTAGACTATTCCGATGCTGAGAGAAAAGTGGTGTAACAAGCTCTAGTTGTTCTCTAACTTTCTATAACAGCTGCTTGCACGCATTAGCTCAGAGAGCAGGTGAAAGTTGATTAAGTGGATACTTTTTATCATTTTATTAGGGAGAATAAGTATACACTGAAAACAATTACAGAACAGCAAGTAAAGTACAAGAAAATGTCAAATACTATGAATATGTGGTGAGTCACTAAATAATCAGAGTTTTCTGTATAAGCTTCCATCAGTTGTCAGAATTTTAAAACTAAAAGATTTAATATAAAAGCCTGGATTTCCATTTTAACATGACAAATTAGGTGTAGAAGTTTTCCTGTGACGCCTTGCACTAGGGGACCTACTTTCTTGCAAGGTATAAATGGATAATTTTTAACCCAAATAAATTTGTGACATAAACACCATTCTGGTCATCAGAAACATATTTTTAAATAATTAATTCAATTGAATAATAAGATAGAAGCAAGCCAGCTTTGATGGAGGACACAGGGTTCTGTTTTTCTTTTCTTTTTTTTTTAATCCTCACCCAAGGACATTTTTTCATTTTTTGTTCAGACAGAGTGGGAGGGAGAGAGAGAGAGAGAAACATTGACATGAAAGGGACACATCGAGTGGCTGCCACCCAAACGACCCAACCAGGGCCGGGGACAAACTGCAACCGAGGCACGTGTCCTTAGTAGGAACTGAACCCCGGTCTCTCTGGACCTCAGGCCGACGCTCTTACTGCTGAGCCAAACCAACCAGGGCGGGTTCTGTTTTTCTTGAATAATTATTTTTCAGGTTAGTGCTGTATTCTCAGGTAGGACGGTGGGGGTGTGTGAAAGCAAGATATTTGTCTCATCTGTAACCTCCCAGGTCTGAAGGACATCATTGTCCAAAGAAGAAATCTGTTCCCTAGAAAGCAGTACATATGCATAGACTAATGTCAAGGCACAATTGCCTGGCCAGTGTGACTCAGTGATTGAGCGTCAACCCATGCACCAAGAGGTTGCCGGTTCGATTCCCGGTCAGGGCCCAGGCCCAGGTTGTGGGCCCAATCCCCAGTGAGGGGCATGCAGAAGGCAGCCAGTCGATGTTCTCTCTCATCAATGTTTCTATCTCTCTCTCCCTTCCTCTCTCTAAAATCAATAAAGAAAAAAATAATTTTTAAAAATGTTTTAATGTTCAGGCACAACCAATAAGCAGACTTTGGACATGCCAAGAGGGACAAGAACTGACTTTAAATCATTAAATGGAAAAAGAGTTGAGGGGAGAGATGACAAAATGGGCATTTACAATGAGACAAAACTAGAGCAACAGAGAGGCATGTAAACTGGGAAACTGGGGAAAGGTTTTATGGAGGAGAAATAAGTGGAGATCAAGAGGTAGAACGTGATGAAGTGTGTGTGGAGAAAGTGTGGTTAGGAGAGTTGAAATGGGGCATCGGGTGGTAACCGGGTTGTGCAAATCTGCCGGGGCTCTCATCCCCCCAGGAATGCAGGACTTCAACTATCTCCACACCAACTGTTTCGAGATCACACTGGAACTGAGTTGCAACAAATTCCCCCCCCAAGAGGAATTACACCGAGAGTGGCTGGGTAATCGGGAAGCCCTGATCCAGTTCTTGGAACAGGTAAAATTGAATTCTTTAACTTTCATGATTATGGAAGGAGAAGAATTTTCCAATGAAAGGCAAGGTTTTCTGGCTCAGGCCTGACTTTTGCTCTGACTCATCAATCGATTTGGGTTTCTTCTACCAATGTAATTTATCCATTCAACATTACTGAGCATAACTATCCATCAGAAAATGTACTATATGCTGGGGGTTGTGAATATAAACAAGCAAACAAATATTTCTGTTCATATGGAGTTTATATTATAGTGAGAAGAGATAAAAAGGCAATAAACAAAGTAATAAGATAAATTTGATAATATGTCAAATGCTATGAAGAAGGCCTTCCAGAGGAGGTGACATTTAAACAGACTGAGGAGGTAAGGGGGAGACTCATGCCGATGTCTAGAGAAAAAGGGCTTCCTCAATAAGGATACAAAAGTAACTGCAAGGCCAACAAGCAGCCCATGAAAGATGCTGAACATCACCAATTATTAGGAGAATACAAATCAAAACCACAGAGAGATGCCACCTCACACCCATTAGGATGGCTGCTATTAAAAAACAAACAAAGCTCTGACCAGTTTTGCTCAGTGGTTAGAGCGTCGGCCTGCAGACCAGAGAGTCCCGGGTTCAGTTCTTGCTAAGGGCGTGTACCTTGGTTGCAGTTTGTCCCCGATCCCAGTTGGGGTTGTGTGGGTGGCAACCAGTAGGTGTGTCTCTCTGACATAGATGTTTCTCTCCCTCTCTCTCTCCTGCTCTATCTGAAGATAAATGCAAAAATGTCCTCGGGTGAGGATAAAAAAAACAAAAACAAAAAACAAACGACAACAGAAAATAGCAGATGTTGGCAAGGATGTGGAGAAATGGAAACCCTTGTTCATTATTGGTGGGGATGTAAAATGGTGCAGTCACTATGAAAAACAGATTTATAGTTCCTCAAAAAATTAAAAATAGAACTGCCATATGAGCCAGCAGTTTTCTTCTGCATAGATAACCCAAAAAACTGGAAGCAGGATCTCAAAGAGATATTTGTTCACAGAAGCAGCATTCATGAGAGCCAAAAGGTGGAAATAATCCGAGTATTCAATGAGAGATAAATGGATAAACAAAATATAGTATATACATAACATGGAACATTAGTCTGCCTTAAAAAAGAAAGAAATTCTACCAATTGCTACAACATAAATTAACCCCGTGGACATTATACTAAGTGAAATAAGCCAATCACAAAAAGACGAATGCCCTATAATTTCACTTATATGACCTTTCAAGAGCAATCAAGTTAATACAAAGCAGAATGGTAGTTGCCTGGGTCTGGAGAGAGAAGGACATGGGACTTGTTTTATGGGTATAGAGTTTCAGTTTTGTAGGATGAAAAGGTTCTGGAGATTGGTTGCACAGCAATGTGAATATAATTAACACTTAAAATGATTAAAGTATTTAAGCTGAACTGAACTGTACATTTAAATGATTAAAATAGTAAATTGTATGTTATGTGTATTTTATCACAATTAAAAATTTTTTTAATTTTAAAGAGTACAAAGTCAGACCACCAGTGTGGCTGGAGTTATCACGAGAGTATGGGAAAGGGTAGCAGGAGCTGAGATCAGCCACCTAACTGAGGGTACGGCTTTATAGACCATCGTGAGAACTTCAACTTTGCTCTGAGTTGGGTTTTGATGAACCTATGACATGATTTGACTTAGATTTTAACAGGACCCTTCTGACTGCTCTCATGAGAAGAAATTATTGGGCATGAAGAGAGGGGACAGAGAGACCAGTTAAGGGGTTATAAGGATTATCTTGGTGAAGATCAAATGTTAAAGCATGAGCTAAGGCCTTGGGGACTCTGAAACACTGGACAATGTTTTATGATCATAGTTATACTGTGAGTTTTTTCCTACAGGTACACCAAGGTATCAAGGGAATGGTGCTTGATGAAAATAATAATAATCTCCCTGGGGCTGTGATTTCTGTCAGTGGGATTAACCATGATGTCACTTCAGGTAGGTGGCGCTGCCTCTTGGGGTGAGAAGGGAGCGTCCATTCCCTCTTCTTCTTCAGCATAATCAGGAGGCCAAACTGTAAGCCAGTGACACCAGCAGGGACATCAAGGCCATGGGGGGGGGGGGGGGAAGGAAGGGTCATAGAAGTGGGGACAGTGAATTAAGAAACAAGGACCAGGAAGAGGCAAATGTATCATCTCTCTCAGCGTTCAGGAGCCACTTCCTAGTATCACTTTGCTAAGGGTGTTTTCTGGGTTGGAAGGTATTAATAACTCACACACTGTGTGAAATGGGTTGGGAAAAGAAAGGACTGTAAATTGATGTTTGATCTTATCCCCGGACACAGGCGCCTCACTACACCTCCATTCAGGGTAAAGTAAGCAAGATGTAGTCTATCAACTTGTTGCAGGGCAGAGTGATGGAACCTTCTGGAATGCTGCAGGATATCACATGGCACAATGTTATTGCAAATTGCCCCAGCCCAGTTTGATCCCACACAACTTGTACGGGTTGTTTGGTTTTTAAAGTAAAGCAGTGACTACCAAAGGTTAGGGCAGGTGAGGTCTGCCTGCCTCCCCCAACCTCATGCCACACCAAACAGGCATCTTACAGTTCAGACAGTCTGTTTAAACTGGATGAAGTCACAACTTTAAGGAGGTAACTTATGTTCTGTAAGATGATCCCAACACATCTCACATGAAAGGCTCATTCAAGGCCAAGGCAGTGATATTTTAAAGGCAGGATTCTGTAGCCTCATAGTCAAGCATCAGACCACTGGCTGGACCCAGGACTGTTTAGGGATCAAACCTCAGGCATCCCTTAGAGCTTTGGGGCTTGCTAGATTCTTATACCTTATTCACGCAAAGGTGGGGAATGATTATGAAACATCCTAGCCAATCGACATATACCGAATGGCACTAATTTCACCAATAAGGGCCTACTTCCAATACCCATTATGTTAAATTAATAAATTGCTCATTTTACCATTGAAAAAACTGATTGCTGATGTTCATTATACTACTTAGCAAAGCATCTAATGTTGATTAGAGACCAAGATAGTCGAAGCCCTCATAATAGCTGTTTCTGGAACTGGACCTTTCTGATGCAATGTTAGCTACCACTCCTGGATGTGAGCCCCCAGTTAAGAAATAATAACCCGCCCTGGCCGGTTTGGCTCAGCGGTTAGAGCGTCAGCCTGCAGTCCACAGAGACCCGGGTTCGGTTCCCTCTAAGGGCATGTACCTTGGCTGCAGTTTGTCCCCGGCCCTGGTTGGGTCGTGTGGGTGGCGGCCACTCGATGTGTCCCTTTCACATCGATGTTTCTCTCTCTTCCTCTCTCTCCTTCCCGCTCTATCTGAGTGAAAAATGGAAAAATGTCCTCGGGTGAGGATTAAAAAAAAAAAAAAAAAAATTAAAAAAAAAAAAAAAAAAAAAAAGAAATAATAACCCTGGGGTACACTTAAACTGTCCAATGTGTGCATAATAAACTAGTGCTTTTGCTAAAGTCTTTTAAAGTAAATTACAGACATTTAATAGGGGGCAGAAAAGGAACTTTCTCATTATTGTCTGTCTCGTTCTTAATTGCATTTATTATTTCAATTATTCATTGCTGCACATTTAAAAGAAATTTAAAGACATGGTCACAATTGATTCAAAGGAGATGTAAAGTCATTAGCCAAAATGCTACATCCCTGCCACAGAGAAACAGGCCTTCTTTTGAATTTTATTTTCCCCTTTTGAAGGTGATGGAAGAAATATTAAAAATAGGATTCTCAAAATCAGATCTTTATGGTCATTTGGTCCAGCCCTCCCACTCAGTATAAGATTACACACACACACAAGACCGCAGACAGCTGCTGTGGGGCCTGGGGCCACCACGCCGTCCGTGCAGGTGGCGCACTGCACAGCTGTGTCGCTGTCCCGGGGCCCTCCTTCACTCTCTGCCTAAGTGCTCACAATTTCACAAAGCAGTCCATTTCATTTTTGGAAGGTCTGTGTATGTCACAATAGTTTTTGCTTCTGTTGAGCAAAATCTTCCTCCAGGTAACTTAAGCCCAAAGTTCTCATGCTTATTTCTTTAGGTGCACGTTTCTTCGTGGTGATTTTTCTTTTTTAAATTTTCTTTAAAAAAATTTTTTTTCCTTTATTGATTTTAGAGAGTGAAGAAGTAAGAAGGAGACTGAGATAGAAACATTGATGAGAGAGAGCATCGATTGGCTGCCTCCTGCATGCCCCCAAGGGGATCAGGCCCACAACCTGGGCATGTGCCCTGACCAGGAATTGAACCGGTGACCTCTTGGTGCATGGGTCCATGCTCAACCACTGAGCCACACTAGCCGGACTGTGGTGACTTTTCAAACAGTGAAACAGAGGTCTCACGTATTCTCTCTACGAGGCAAAAACATTTATAGACATTCAACCTTTCTCCCTGGAACCCTTTACTGCACATGAGTTTTAAAAATACAGGGTCTAGAGTTAAACACAATATCCTCCGTGCAGAGCACTGTCAAACTCTTACTTCCCAGAGCCGAGGCCCACACTCCCCTTTTGTAAAATAGCTTATGATTATTTTAGACCTTCACCAGTTTCATCATGCAATTAAGAAAAATCAAGCTTGTGGTCAGCTAAAACCCTCAGATCGTTGTTCATGTAAAGGCTACATTTGGGGCAGTTTCTAACCAGCAGACCAAGTTATATCCTTGTGACGTTTAGGTGATCAAGGCGATTACTTCCGGCTGTTGCTTCCAGGCACCTACACTGTCACTGCCACAGCACCTGGGTTCGACCCAACGACAGTGACTGTGACCGTGGGTCCTGGGGAACCAAAACTGGTGAGTTAAGCTGACCTTTTCAGAGCCTGTAAAGATCACTTACACAAAGTCACAACCGATGGCACAGTTCTACTCTTTGCCACTCTTTCCTTTCACCATAAATAAAGTTCATTCCTCTCACATGCTCATTTATCTTCTGTCACTTTCATATCCTTCCCACTCCCTTTTGACTTTTCCTCTTCTTCTATTTAATATAGTTTAGTGATTAAAAGCATTGTCTACCTATAAATACAGCTCATGTCCACAGACAAATTTCCCAATCGCTCTCATCCTCAGCTTCTTCCTTTGTAAATTGGTGATGAGAACGTGCACATAAAGCATACAGTACAATGACTGATGCATAGCAAGTGCCCAACAAATGTTAGTTTGTAACATCGCAAGGACCTTGCCCAAACACATGGGCTCCCAGGAGTTGCGTTCTTCTGTGCCATCAGCAAGGACCACCACCAGGTGGCACTCTGCCCCCTTCTGGTGCCTCCTGTGCCCAGACCCCTTTGCTTTCCTCTCACCTCTGCCAAGAACCAGCTGCTCTCTGATATTCAACTCTCCATGGCACTTTTTTTTTTTTTTTTAATTGAAATTTTAGAGAGAAGGGAAGGGAGAGAGAGATAGAAACATCGATGTGAGAGAGATACCATCAATCGGCTGCCTCCTGCACGCCCCCACTGGGGATAGAGCCAGCAACCCAGGCATGTGCCCTGAGGGCCAGACTTGAATCGGGACCTCTCAGTCCATGGGACAACATTCAATCAACTGAGCCGCTCCAGCCGGGATCCATGGCATTCTTTATATGAGAAGCAAAGAACTTTTTTTTTATAGCCTAAACCGTTTGAGCTTTGGTCATATTAGATTGGCATCTTAGAGCTAAAGAGGCTCAGTGATCATGAATGTGAATCCTCAGATTTTTCAAGAGGAAAAGATAATCAGACAGTCCTGTTTAATGAGCATCTACAGACCTGCTTTCCCACACGTCAGCTCTTCTCTAGGGCCTCTTCCCTCTTTCCAGTTCCTTCTCTGTTCAACCCTAGAGCTTAGCAGAACCCCCTCCCTTTTCCCTGTTAACTCAATACAGTCAAGTCAAGTAGCTTATCTTTTCAAATACAGTTATAGGTGGGATTTTTAAAAAACTATTTATTGAACAGTTATGAGGTATCAGACACTGTATGAGAGCTTTCCAAAACTACCTCATGTAACCTTTACAACAACCCTGTAAGGTAGATATAAGTATCCCCATTTGTGACTGAGGAAATGGAAATTTCCAGAAGGTTAGAAACTTGTCCAGTATTACAGCGAGTAAGTGGCGGGAGCCATGATTCGAACCTCCAGGCTTTCAGGGCTATCTTGTTAGCCAGCATGTTACCGGGTCTCATGCTAAGTTTGTAACCTGTATTTGTAATCCTCCTTTTTTAACACAAGGATCAGAGGAAAGAGTTTTTAAAATCCTTTGAAAATTCCTCAGAAATTTCTAGAGAGTTTTCCTTTCTTCTCTCCCAGCCCCTCTACTCCCATCTCCTGCATATTATAAATGACTTCCATGCAGAGGCAGAAAGCAAAGAGTAACTCTTCCATCGCAGCCAGTTTTTCAATCAACATAATCTCTTTCCCTTTTTCCTTGTGATACCCCTGCTCCTCATCTACCCTAAAATCAAATGACCATTAGCAGCTGCATGCATGAGTCTTGCCTCAAAGCGAGTCTACTCAGTGCCAACTGCAACCAACTGGAAATCTTCCTGAGCAATATACTTGGCTTCAAAATGTTTCAATTCCTTTGTCATATAGCTTTTAAATAAATTAACATAATCCACTGATATACCGACTATAACTCAGAGGGGGTGAAATCTGTCCTTTGGATACAATTCCCAGATACTGTAACAACTATGAATCCATTTGCTGACCACAGTCGAGTCTCTCTTCCCATTCTAAAGGAGAGATCCACCTGGGGGGGGGGATGGGGGGGATCATTGATTGACTAGAGGGTTTTCATGTTACAATGAAGACTCTCAGATTACAAGTAACACCTCCCAGAGTTCAGTGTTCTCCCCTTTGCTTTTCCCCACAGCCTTCTAGATGTCATGTTCCTGTCACTTCTCTTCGTCTTGTCTCATTTTGTTGTTGCTCCTCCTCCCCGTCCCCTCCCCCCTTCTCCTTTTTTTCTAGATCTCTGTATTGCTATTACAGTATAGGAAATGATAATGACAGTGCCATTGGCTCTGACTTCCCCCACTTTGGGGAACTAACAGAAAAGCTGGCTGTGGGTTTTGTGGAAGGGGCAAGAAATAACCCCATGGAGAGTCCTCTTAGTGGCAAAATTTTCAACTCCCAGCTGGCTTCAGCAGCTCCAGATGTTCCAAGGACTTGAAAGCAGAGGATGCCGCAGGGGAGGGTGGTTAGAACACAGCCACTCCCTCTCCCTCTGTGTCCTGGGATGGTCCTACCGCTCCTGCACCGCCGGTCTATCCCAGCTTGTGTGTCAACACCATCTTACATCTGTGTGTTGTTTCGATGTATTGCTGGACACGATGCATTAAGGCATATGGAAATTTGGAGTTTAAGAATCCATACGTTAACAACCTATATCATCTCTCCCATCTATAGTTCTCAATGACTATGGCAGAAAGTTTAGTTCTAGGGATCTGAGGCAAATGCATGCCTGAGCACGACACCTGTGATTCACACAATCAGCATAAAGGGGATTATTACAACACCATCAATCAATCTTAGTTGTTGTCCTAGGCAACACTTGGTGAAATCATGGTATGAGGTGTAGATAGAGGTTTTTTTCCTAATACATATAAAATAAATGAATGTTAAGTTCATCTAGATATACCCTATGTGTCACCAGTGATTATGTGCACTTTTGGGGGAATATCAGCCAAACCTATATGACACCGCCAATGCCGCTCTGGGCCATTGCTGTGATGATTATCCTTAGCCCCCTGTCCTCAGAACCTGCAACTGTGGTGAAACCAGGTCCAGACAGGTCTTCCCCCAATTTCAGTTCTAGGAAGTTGAAAACTGACTCCTCTACTCTCCTAGCTTCCTCTTCTTTTCTTCCAGGTTGACTTCCAGCTGAAGAGAAGCATCCCTCAAATAACGGAGTTGCCAGTGCAGCACCTGGAGGCGGAGTCTTACCAAAGCAAGTACGGCCCCGGGTAGCCAAATAAAAAGATACAGAGACGGCAGCGACAGAGTCCCTGCCTGAAATCAACAGCCATTCACAGCGGCCCAGGGAACACTTCAGAAAGGCTTTGGTCCTGCTATCTGATCAGATGAAACATTCTATTTTATTATCTGGGACATATTTAAATACAAACATATTCAGAACAATTCAGAATGGTCTCCGTCTGTTCCAGGTGTAAGCCCTCTCTGATGCAGTAGTACATAGACTCAGCGGTGTTCAGTAAGATTTTCCGGTTGTGGGGGAATGGTTTAGGCCCTGAAGGCTCCCTGCCAGTCCACACTGAACCCAGAGACTGGTTCTGGCTAGCTGGCCACGCTGTCACCAGAGTCTAGCACAGAGTCTGCAATGTCATCGGTACTCAGGGAAGATTTCTGAATGAACAGCCAAAATGCTGGGATGATTCGTCATTGATGTTGTTCCCATAGGAAGACCAGGTGAGCAAATTTGAACCCCAGAGGACCCTTTCAGCAATAGCCAGTAGTTTCTTGATAAGAAAAGGATTTCACACACAAACATAGTCCCACTGCCACCCATTTTTGTGCGTGGGCATGTTAAGCAATGTGCATCTGCTAGCACGTATTCTGGGTCTGTGGGTGTAGTGAAGAGGCCCCTGTGGAACGGCTCTGCCCTGCCGTGTCGGCGACAGCGCTCTTGCTCAGTTTCCCAGAATGAACTCGTTTGTTCTAAAAGTGTTACTGAGCACAGTAGCAGTCACTAACGATCATGGAGGGTTGTATAGTCTTTCATCACACTCCACACAGCACACAAGTTTAACTGGGCATGTTAGGGGTCCAAGTGTCCTATCCCCTGGGCTTGATAGGGCTTTTGTTTGTTTGTTTGTTTTTACCATGCACTGAGCCTCAGGTAGGGATAGGGCAGGCTCCAGTTTGCCCCACTTGCTTCACCCCCCAGCCTGTAAGCCTCCCTACTCCCCACCCCAAACCTCTAACTAACCCAACCCCTTTTTAACATTGAACAGTTTAGCTCCTCTCAACAAGTAGTCCTACCCATCAGAAGACAGAGGTGCTCTGGCCGAGACAGCCCACCCTCTGCGGAAGGCCATTCAAGGTTAGGATGGCCTATTGATTCATTTTTCTGTTACTTGAACAATCTCTCAATCTGTGGTCAAAAGGAAAGCAGACAAAAAATGTATCTTTCCCATTTGGAAAGGGTATTCTCTCTCTGGTCATTAATCCTTTCTCTACCTTTTTTCTTTCTTCCCAATTTTAATCCCATGTTCCTTGGTTCCCTTCTTGTTGCTATGAAGAAGCAGCTACCTGAGAGGGCTCTTTTCAATTCAGTGACACTTTGTGCCTCAGGTTGCCAGACACACTCAATTTTTCCAGACGGTCTAAACATCATTTATTTGTTTTCTGGCACATAGTCACTTAACAGAGCTGATGTTTGCAAAATGTGGCCACAGTGCTTTCCCGGGCGGAGCCACACTCCTTCGTTCGTTCATTCATTCGTTCATTCATTCATTCATTCATAAAGAAGATACAGCCATTGATCTCAGGGCAGCTATGGTCTACTTGGGAAGACAATAGATCGTAACACTGCGTTGTCATAACTGCTATGGTTCAGTAAACTCTGGGGTGGGGGACAGGGAGCCCTTGGAAGGGCCCTACTATCTATTGGAAGATCAGGGAAGGCATCTCAGAGCGAGTGGAGTTGAAAGTGAGATACCTGAGGTCAGATGAAGAGGCTTTGGCCGGGTGGGAGCAGATGGGGGAGCACGAGTTAGGCTGAGGAGACCTGAGGTGCAGAGTCTGGAGGCCCCAAGGGTGTGGCTTTCGGGAACTGCCAGGAAACTCAGGGTGGCAGGAAGGGGTGACTGGTGGGAGCTGAGTGAGGTGTGGAACGCTGAGGCCAGTGGGGACCTGAGGGACCAGGTCATGAAGGACCTTTGAACCATATTGCAGAGTTTGGACTTTATCCCAAGAAGAACAAGAAGCCATTGAGAGGTTCTAGTGCGGGGAGTGGCAGAATCAGATTAAATGGTCGCCCTGGCTATCGCTGAGGAGTAGGCTGGAGCAGGGCCAGACTGAGTCAGGGAAGAGGCTGCTGAAAGCCAGGTGAGAAGGTGGCCTGAACCCAGGCAGGGCAACACAGCTGGGGAAATCACAGTACTGAGTCCACCCTGGTTATCAGCCCCTGTCAGCCCCTCCGGCCCCCCGCCCCTTCAAGACTTCTGGTCCCCTCTCTGATCCTTCCTGCCGGCCACCCTGAGGATGTCAAGCACTAAAGGAGATGTGGGTTTTCACATCTCCTGAAGACTACCCTCAGAAAACTCATTCACCTTGGGTGTGATTATTCTGTGTGTATACAGGGTGTGGCCATGGCTGTATAAATGTTTCTCAGAGCATATTGAGGAAGCATGTGAGGTCACAGCTAATAGGGGAGAGGGAAGGCAGGATTCAAAGGGCACGAAGGAAGATCCTTCAGCTTCGAGTTCAGCATTTTCCTGGCCGTTACCCTTTCTATTTGTTTTTTATCTAGGATTTTATCTTAAAGAGGAAATCTTCTGCACAGAATGCCAGCCTAGAGAGATGGTGTTTCCTGCGGGCTCAGAATACTGTGGTTAAGGGCATGGGTTTTCAACTCTGACAGACCAGGGTTGCTCTTGTTCATTGACTGTGTTACCTTGAACAAGTAACTTACCTTCTCTGAGTCATAGTTACTCAAATCTGGAAAAATATAAGGAAGATATCTGCCTCCCGTGGAGTTTGTGAGAATTGAAGATGATACTCTCATGAATCAGTCACGAGGGAAGAACAGCTCCTGCCCCAGACCTGCCTCAGAGGATTGTCACTTGTCAGGTTGGTTGATGATAAGCCTGACAGGGGCATCAAGGACTTGGGGGTGCAAAGGGGAGTTTAGAAGTAAAGGACCTGAGATGCTGAACCAAGCCCACCCTCTCTTTTAAAAATAATCTCATGTACTAGACGGTCTTTATTAGTTTCTTATTCTTCCTGGCACTTTTCCTTCTGAATTGAAGATTTCATAACATAATTCTCCCCCTCACATGACTAGATAGGAGAGTTTCTAGTTTTCAGACAGGATGATACCTAATAACTTTTGACCTGGTTCTGGTTTCCAAAGAGGTTTCTGCCCTGATAAACTGTAACCACGTTGTCTTTTCATTGTGGTGCAAAGACACTCAGCACTCAGAGTACCGGCTGTGTAAGCTCATCACACGTACTGGCTGAGTGAATGATCTCTAGGACTACTTCACACATTTTCCCTCCTTCTCTCCTCTTTCATTATTTTTATTTTATCTGGTGTAAATAGTTTTGAGCATCTTTTTTAAAATGATGATAAACCGTGGTAGGCCGAATTCTAAAATGATTCCCAATGACCCTTACTCAGTATAACCTCTTCCCTTGCATGTTGGCAGACCCTGGGGCTACGGGACTATAATGAGATATCTCTCCCATGACTATGTTGCAGAGGTAATCAAGACCCTAAGTCAGTTGATTCTGAGTTCTTCAAAAGGGAGATTATCGTGGGTAGGCCTGACCTAATCAGACGAAGTCTTTGCAAGCAGTGGCCTTGGAGAAAGAAAGCAGACAGCTAAGTGTAAACTGCTTATGAAGAGGGGCAGCCCCTAGGAGCCGAGAATGGTCCCAAGCAACAGCTAGCAAGAAAATGGGACCACGGTGATGCAGCCACAAGGAAATGAATTGTGCCAACAATCTGAGTCAGCTCAAGCCCGCACCTGAGTGCAGCCCTGTGGGAGCAGATGGTCCGGCTCACAGTGCCCTGACTCTTGACCAATAGAGCAACTGCGAGATAACGCATTTGTGCTGCTTTAAACTTCTATATTTGGGTTGATTTGTTATGCAGAATAGAAAACTAATGTATAAACTATCTCAGAGTTTTTGTAAATTAGGTAGGCTATTAATAAGCAAAACACAAATAACCGATTGTGACCACTGTACCAAGTGATAGAGCTGCCAGGCTCCTACCTCGAGTGAGTGTATGAAAAACAAAGCCCAGAAATGAACAAAAACATTTAACTCTTTTTAAATAAGAGGGCTGAGTAGTCAACTCTACCCAGTAGGCGATGGTGACATCCTTTCCTTTCTCTAAGGAGCACATGTCTCTGACAGCAAGGAGTTCTGCCTTTGGATAACTGTAGTATCTTGCCTCAGTTAATTCCCATTATTTGCACTAAATTACATGTTACTGGGTTGTGGACATGCACCATTGGTACAAATACTAAAATGAGAAAATGTAAAGCATTTCCTGAGACTAGGGCTCTTCTCTTTCCCAAAGGATCAATAAAAGAACAATGAGTAACATCCCAACCTTTTCTACCCACTTCAGGACACTTGGAAAGAAAGCAGGAGCAGGAGCAGGAGCCCTCTTAAATAGCCAAACATACTTTCCCACAGTTTGAAATGTTATTTATAATAAAGCGATAAGATCCCAATACACTGGTGTCACGTTTTTATCTGTTAAAAATCCAGGATATGAATTCACAGCAGCTTTTGTATTGACTTATTCATTAGACAAATAGTTGTGTCCTGTTTCTGAATCAAGTGCTGTGTTAAGAGCTGGGGAGACAGTGGCAAACCAGAGAGACATGGTCTCTACCTCTTTGGAGGGGGAGGGATATGGAGGGAGAGACAAAGAATAAAGTTAATCAAGAACTATATACAAAGAATTGGTATCTGAGAAGCGGTGCTGAGGGAGGAAGTGCCAGGGGGCCTATTTGAGATAGGATGCTTAAGGAAGACTCCTCTGAAGAGGTGATATCCAGGCTGAGATGTAAAAGATAAGGAAAAGGAAGGCTGGCAAAGAGTAGGAATAAAAGTTCCAGGTGGAAAGAATAGCCAGCTCAAGTACCCTGTGGCAGAAAACAGCCCGGCTGGTTCTAGCAGATGCTCCTGGGGGGGAGAGAAAGGGAGGGAGAGGGGAGGGGGAGGGGGAGGGGAGGGAGAGAATGTGTAGTTTTCTGATCTATGATCTA